AACAAGCCGCTTCCATGGAATAATCATGTATCTGGTTGATTCAACAAAAAAATGCTCAGTCCAACAAAAATAACTCAAGCATTAATAATTTGTTGATGCAACAAATCATTTTTTTCCGTGAAGAACATCGTGATTTTTTGAAACTCTGACTGTTCCAATTAGGTAACCACACCGATACACACAGTGGCAAGTACGGTCCTGCCTCATATACACAATCATATAATGGTGTATCGTACATTATCATGATGCGGTGTTTCCGAGGGTGTTTCAGTTGACAAATGGCTGATAAGCACTGATCATTATTCGACATTTTGTCTATTAATGGCACCATGAAACAGGTACCCTATATCATGGATACTATCGATGAGACAGGCAGATGATTTATTTTGTGAGTTAACAGTTTTTAACACAATTTCATCAATAAGCTCGTCAATAAATTATAGTTTACCTACTTCTTCGAAACATTTTTATAACCATTTCTGGCTAATACAGAATTCGATCAGTCGAGGTCGAGATCGAGATTCACAATGGATGGCACGCATTAGACGTTTCTGGAGAACGCAATTCAGGATTATTCTGAAAAGTTGGTGCCTTGGATAATAATTAATTGTGTTCTATCGACCTAATATATTCTCAGTGTTGCGACGTTGACGCTTATATTAAAAAGTAGCAACAACTTTGATTTTTTGAATGGGACACCCTGTATATTATTCCATTTTCAGATTCTCCCTGAAGAGCTGATTCTATTGACCCATAACACTTGGGGTCTAACAGTGATAAATACAGAGTTATAGGATGTGAAAAATCGAGATTTTTCAACTTTAAGAATTCTTTGTGTCGCTATTCATAATGTGTCCAAACGGTTTTCATGTCCCTATCCTGATATTTTATTCACTATCAATTGATATTTAATTGAAATCGATACAGGGTGACCAACAATCCTAATTCTGAATCACCCTGTATTTATTTCAATTACATATGACATGCTCAAGTTTTTTTTAAATTTTGGTTCCCACGAAAAAGGGATATCCTGTAATGTTCAGAGAACATCGTGAGAACTAAGTGAAATAAGGTAGGAATTGGTTTTCTTCTTAAATTTCTGGAGGTTATATGCCTCGGGGAACACCTCTCTTGGCAATGTGTTGAGCCTCGCTGCTCGTTGGATGAACGAGTCTATGGAAAGAGATGTTCTGCAGGTCTCCAAAGTGACCACGAAGGGGTGCGAAGCCTCAACTCGACGGGTTAATCTCGTGGGGACTGCCAAGGGAGGAACAATTGTTGATATTTCAGAAAAGCATCGTCCATGGAAATATCGATAAAATAGAGCCAGATCGCCAACTTTTCTACGATGTTCCAGAGAAGTGAGTGAGTTTGTGAGCGAGGCATACCCCACGAGATGAATTGCCCTTTTTTGGACAAAATCCAACAGTTTCAGGGTATGTTTGTGTGCTGCACTCCAAATATGGGAACAGTATTCCAGGACAGGTAGGATCTATGCCTTATAGATCATAAGCAGCTGACTGGAAGTGAAATAGCTCCTGGTCCGAAACAGAAAACCAAGTTTTTGGGATGCACTTTTAGCAATTGATCTCACGTGATTTTCCCAAGAAAGGTTATTGCTGATAGTAATTCCAAGCATCGAAATGGATGTCTCCAAAGGTATGGTTACTCCTGACAAGCTTATGTTGGGCACAGTGAGATCGGCTATTCTAGAGAAATGGCATGCTTGTGTTCTGTCTGCATTGAAATCTACCAAGTTATTGGATCCCTATTCGAGAATTGTTGCCAAATCCTTATTTATTATATGTTCTCGACATTTATTGTTCGTTTCTGATTTGCCTGATAATTGATCCTTGCGGAACACCAGCATTTATGATAAGAGAGTCAGATGAAACTCCGTCGACCACTACATGGAGAGACCTGTTTGAGAGAAACTCCAACAATATTATATCGATACCCTGTATCGATTTCAATTAAATATCAATTGATAGTTAGAAAAAGTCTCGGAAAAAGTCAAGATAGGGACCAATGCGAGGACCAATGATAAATAGTTTCGACACAAAAAATTCTTAAAGTTGAAAAATTTTTGTTTTTCACACCCTATATCTTTGATGTCATTTCCGCTAGACCCCAAGTGTGGTAGATCGATGAAATCAGCTCTACAGGGATAATCTAAAAATGGATTAATATACAGGGTGTCCTATATAAAAAATCAAAATTGTTGCTACTTTTCAATAGGAGCGCCAACGTGGCAACACTGATAATATTTTAGGTCGATAGAACACAATTAATTATCCAAGGCACCAACTTCTCAGAATAATCCTGAGTTGCGTTCTCCTGAAACGTCCAATGTGCCATCCACCGTGATTCAGCTTGTATACGACGTACTACTATATCACCCTATACATACCTATATTGAGAGAGAAAGAAAATGAACATAGGAATGCATTCCTGATGAATAATATAAAGGGTGTTCCATCCTCAGTTTTGACTTCATTCGATATTCGAAGTATCATCGAAGTTCATTCTGGATAAACCATTCTAGAAACGAGCAGGCATATTGGAATCAACATCTGTATTATACACTCCTCTTATGTATTTACCCCCGATAAATACGCACACATCTCTCAAAATTATAGGGATTCTCCTTCGTGCGCTCCAAGTGATAAAAAAACATGGAAAAAATCATGGATAGTAGAGTTCATTCTTGGATAACTTATACCTCGAGTCACAGAATACCCATTGTTGAGTATTCTGTGCCTCGAGTTAAACCACAGAATTATTCTGTGGTTAAACTTAACCACAGAATACCGTTGAGTATTCTGTGACTTAACCAAGTTTATCATACCCGTGATAATACCTGTCCCACAGAATATTCCTATAACCTTTTTCCACTTACATAAAATGTTGTTTACTTCATTTGACATTTCTTGAAATCAATATACTCACTATAAAAATTTTGAAAAAACACCTTCTCTTCTGAAACATTTTATAGATCTGACCAAGGATCTGACCTTTGACAATTCATAAGTCGATCAGAGTAAGAAGATAAGAGCCCATTAGTCAAAATAAAGTGTAATATGTCCAGTTATGTATTCATAGTAAATTAATAATAATGATAATGAATTACAAAATTAATCACCAATTAAAATATATCATAAACACATCATCTCATGTAATAGATGAATAATATTTTATTGTTACATATAAAATAAAAACAATGCATAAACTTGTATTCTCAATATAGAATTATCATATCGATTATTATCGAACCCAGCACCTCTAGATCAAGAAATTCTATGAGATTTTTAAAATTTTTGTGTTGTGCATCGAGTGCCAGCTGATGCAAGACATACTGTTTCGGCTTGCAATGCCTCATCAGTTGCACTAGGCCAGCTGATAATCACTTCACGACTAGCTTCAATGGAAAGAAGGAGGATCGAGCCTTCCAAGCCATCTAGTAGCAACTTACATAGATTAACATAGATACATATATTCGAGGATATATGTTCATTCTTCCTTTCATTGCTTCATACATCATGAAATTACATAATTATGTTACATCTCGGATATCCTAATAAATATGGCGATAGTAATATCATTATGTGAAATTATCATTCATAAAGAAAAACATATGGAGAAAGCCCATCAAAACCTAATGGTGGAGCATGGGCAATGGGCATGCCTCTACATTTTTATTTTCAAATTAAATTGTGTTCTACATAATGATAGTTACACGGCAAGAGAAAGAAAAGCTATTCTAAGATTAATGATTATAACTAATAACTATAAAATGACTTAATACAACAGTTGATAGGGTTTGTGTCGAGAATAAAATGACAGTGTTTTTGTTAATCATACTTGAATAAAAATTATTACCACTGTATTACATTATCAGTTATTTTCAATTACACTATGAACAGTGTTTATATTCAAATTTTTTATGTATGTTTTCATCCATTTACTGCACTTTGTGATACCATGAACCTCTACTATGAATTATCTCGAGAATAAACTACTAACATATTATATCAGTGAGTATACATATCCGAGGTAATCTATTTTGCATTTTGTAGAAACATTCTCAATAATTTCGAGCATGAGATTCGCGTGGTATTTTTATCTAGCGACTCCCACTGTTTCCACGAGTAGGTAAGATATAAAAATATGTTCACTCCGTCACAACTCACAATGTAGATCAGTGTAAGTATTCCCAAATCTCCAGTGACTATTTTTTACAGGCATATAAATAGAGGGTGATTCAGTAGACCTTAAATTAGATGTAACTCATGACTTGTCTATGGAATTAAAATTGATTTGATTGGGATTGGCGCAGTGCGAGGTCGTTGGTTCGATCCCCAGCACGAGAAAGTAAATTTTTTCAATATTTCATTCGCCTTTGGCTAAAATTCAACAATATATAGGATGTTTCGTCATAACTTAGATCACCCTGTATATTTAATTTTCCCTTATAGATGTGGCAAATTGAAATTAACAATCCACCTGTTTCAGCGGACTTCTCAAAAATTGATAGTTTAACTAAAAATGAGTTTATTCAGTAGATAGTTCACGAAAGCACCCGTCAAAGCACTGATGTATACAGGGTGTATCTAATTAACGCCGAAAAAATTCAAGGGGTGATCCCTGTGATATTGTAGCAATCAAAGTTCATATACACACGAGTATACACATGTGTCCTAACTTGCTCCGTTTTTGAGATACAGGATGTTGGAGCTGGAAGTATTAATTATTTTTATTTATAACCCCCCTGTATAAGCTTCTATGGTGCCAAAACTCAGTATGGTTGGAAACTGAGAAAGCACCTCGGAAAGCACCAACGATTTCTCATGGAGATATTAATACCCTGTATCTAGAAAACGAAGCAAGTTAGGACACATGTTCATATGAACTTTATTTCTTAAAATATCACAAGGAATCACCCCTTTCGGTGTTATTTAGATACACCCTGTATATCGAGCTGTATACTTAATGGTACTTACCATCTTCAGAATCCGAATCACTATCCGTACTTTCACTATCAGAAGAAGAGGAAGAGGAAGAAGAAGAAGAACTAGGAAGGTCTGTATCTATTTCATTCTTGTTTGATAACACTACACCGGCGGAAAGATGTGTCCTAAAGTACCGCACCGTTCTTATTCGCACTGACTGAAACGAAAAAAAAAATTGACACTTATGTATGTATGTACAGGGTATCCCAATTTGGGCACTTTTGCGGGGTATCTCCCTTATCAGTAAAGATAGAGCATTGCGGTTTTCGCGACAGTGTGCTACTTTTTTATGAAATTAATAATGGCGCAAGCAGAATTGCGATAGCTCTTCCGGTTGTCGAGATACAGGGTGGAATTGAAAAATATCACTTATCAGGCATCCCCCGTGTCACAGTTATCTTTGAACTTATCGAAGAAGTTAAAACTTGTTTTTAGTTTTTCTCGTAGAATCCAGTGGCGTAGTTATTTTTTTGCTAGCACCTTTTGTTTTTTAGTTATGGAGCAAATTATATATTTTTGGAAAGCCCACTTCATGCTCAATGTATATATGAAATAATATACAGGGTGTTCCATTTAAAAAAACATATGTTTGCTCCATAACTGAAAAACAAAAGGTGCTAGCAAAAAAATAACTACGCCACTGGATTCTACGAGAAAAACTCTATAAAAACGAGTTTTAACTTCTTCGATAAGTTCAAAGATAACTGAGACACGGAGGGTGCCTGAAAAGTGATATTTTTCAATTCCACCCTGTATCTCGACAACCGGAAGAGCTATCACAATTCTGCTTGCGCCATTATTAATTTCATAAAGAAGTAGCACACTGTCGCGAAAACCGCAATGCCTCTATCTTTACTGATAAGGGAGATACCCCGCAAAAGTGCCCAAATTGGGATACCCTGTACATATAATACAGATATCACATCTCAATCACTATACAAATGAAGCTTTTCCAAATACAATATTACAATTGACCATAATTTCAAAGATTAGACATTTCGTATTGTGAAGTTGGCTACAATGGTGTCAATGGGGGAGGGAGACCACTGATCTATACCCTATACCGAAACCGAAAAGATACCAATAAATATAATGTTGAATTCTTTCATTTTAATTATAACAAAATCTGCACGGTATTACATGAAATTGTGACAAATTCCATCCTGAAGATCCTGAACAGGATAAGAAAATGGAACAAAAATATTGAGTTATACTATTGTCATCGGTCCATGATTGTCATCGGTCCATGATAAGTGTGCGAAGTATCAATTTAGTTCGACGTTTTCAAGTGGGTCAAAATCACCTCTCTCTGAATGAAACTATTCATTCGAGTACTTGGTGCAAGACACTGCCGTGTCTCTGGATATAAGAAGTACTGTAAGAAGTTATTATAATAATGTACATTTAAAATTTTGGTGAATGAACATTTGGAATTTTGGTGGTGGAACGATTCACCATTTTATTCGAGAAACAAAAATCGTCCATCCAGAAGATCCTCAACAGGATTATGGGACAACACTATCAAAGTATGCTATGTAATTGACTTCATCTTTGGACTTTCTCTTCCTCCGGCAAATTTCAGAACCCTACCTCAATAATTACGTGAGATACGGTTGTGCTTTCATAAAAAATGCGAAATATTTTTATTTTTCCGAACTGAAAATTTTCCAGGAAGAATTTGAATAGTTAGTAAATTGGGCGTCCTGATTCCAAATCTGAAGTGATTTTCGACCTATTTTGACTCCTAATATCATTTTCCGGAAATTTGGGTAGTTTCATGGCTGTTGGCGAGCAGTGTTTATCACTGAAGATGACCCCACTTGGTCATAGAGTGCATTTTTGGTATATCTCTCGCTCCAGCAAATTTCAGGATCCTTACCCAACGATTACGTAAGATACAGGGGTGGTTCCATTAGAAGTGGGTCACACTGTATATGTGTATATGTGTTATATGTATATCCGGGAAAAAAGTACACACTCTATTCCCACGGGAAAAAAGTAATTTAATGCCAAATTTTTTTCCCGTCACAGAAAAAAATGTATTATTATCGATCTTAGCTAGTTGGCACAAATTTGAAGGAATTCAACCTTGAACCAGGAAAGAATTCTCCTGCGGACCATTTTTGGTTGCCCCTCTTCTGGAGTTCTGGTTCTGGCACCCATTGAACAAAACGAAACTCGCCGCCCTTGGAACTTCAGGTACCTCTAGGCTTAGCATACCCAATGTATTTCTATTATATTATATCAGTCATGTTGATAATGATATTATCATCCTCATTTCCCTTCTTCCCAAGTTTGTAAGTATAAAGGTAGTTAGGTATAGGTACCTACCTACCCATATCATAATGTAGGTATAATAGTGATGGGTAGGTATTGAAAAATTATTAAAAGTTAAATTCCAATTGGAAATCCTTATTTTTGGTATGTTGGTCATGGTACTGTACTGTAAGACGGTATAAATAAACGCTAGGTAGGTCATGGTAGGTAATACCTAATCAGGAATGAATGAATCTTAAATTCTCAAAGTGAATATTACCCTTATAGGCCTTATATTAGCTATTCTACCATTTCTACCATTGAATTCTCGTTCGAATTATCATAATTAATGAATATCCTAATATTAAAACGAAATAATAAGACATAATTAATAGATTAATAAGCGCGTTATCACTTTATTTATAATTATAATTATTATTTATAAGGCTTACGAACACAGCTGCCGCAAATGGGACACATAACCTCACAGCGAGTCATTTTTCAATACCTTATAATCGGAAATAGGTACCTATTTATCAATTTCCGAAAACGGAAGAATTCAAAAAAACTAACCAGAAGAGCTATCAAGTAGGAGAGGGGTTTATAATCTTTGGGAACAGGTGCCTAGGTATAATCCAGAAAAAAGAATGCGGTATTTCCAGTAAAACGTCAAATGTACTCTGTGAAGTGCTCAAAGTCAAGTGAATTTCAGTAGACAAATACTTACTTTATTAATTGGGACACTATTCACCATACAAGAATATTTTGAAATCACCGAAAAGTCGTTGTTTAATAGAAGACGAGCACGACACAGCACCCTTGGCAGCGCCATTTTGAGTGGAACTTAGGAACTAAAGTTGATGGAAAACGCGATTAGTCTGGCTGGCACTCGGCTGCTTTATTTTTATTTTATTCCATATTCCATACTGCAACCACGTATCACCAACTGCGCAAATCGATTTCATTTTCAAAAATTGCAGTTAAGGGATTACATATTACAGATCAGTTATCATCAATTTCTTTCCTATGATCTTTCAAATAGCGACAAAATTGAAAAAAGAAATTCTATTTTTTGATACTTTTGATCATGATCGCTGATCGGATCGGTTTTGGATCTCGAACAGGTGAATTTGTTCTGCAACTAATACTTCTTCGGCGTATTGCTGGTTGCGAGCATTAATCTGTGGGTTTTTGTTCACGAATTCAATACTACCTGAATTGGGCCATCTAGAGACAAGACGCAAAAGAGGTAGGGCGCAATAAATAATCCATGCTGAAGCGGAGTACGGGATTCGAATTCGATTTGAATTTAGCGTTTTTCTGGGGGTTTTTGAACTGGCGAGATTTTTGCATGAACTGAAGAGTGAAGAACTCTGTTGGCAACACTAGTAGTGGTCTGCTGTTATCATATCATTTTAATTTTAAAAAATTTTCAACAGAAAACAAAACTTCTCGTCATATCACTGAAGTGAGGATAGTGAGAATTAATAAAATATATTTTGAATAGTAAAAAATAATAAATTCATGAATTATTTTAGATGGAACCCATGACGTTAGGAAGTGCCCCATCGAGCCCGGCGTCACCTGGAATCAATCCGAATTTTCTTCCTGGTTTTCTGATGGGAGGAGACTCTCAACCGCAGACCCCTAACCCTAGCACATCACCTGGAAGAAACAGAAATTCTGGAAACTTTCCTAAAGTAGGGTTAAGTGCAACAGAGCCAAGAAGTTTACGTCAAAAGCTCTTCAACCAGTCATTAGTCGACACTCCTACAGCTTTGTCGCCCTTCTCCATGATGCCTGAAAAAGCTGGTCCACCTAAGACTGGCCTCTTTGATACTTTCGAGCAGAAGAAAAAGTCTAGTCCCATTATGAGTAGCACAGTAGCACACATGAATGAGTCAGTGGGATTCAATGAAAGCATTTCTAGGATCAATGATGATAGTGTTAATCATAGTTTGATGGTGAATTTGAGTGATACATTTTCAAGGCCCAGTAATATGAACAATAGCCTAGGCAACAAAATTGACACACATTGGGTGACTGTGTTTGGTTTTCCACCCAGTGCTCTAACTCTAGTGCTCTCTCAGTTGGCAAATTGTGGTCCCATTGCTGATAAGAAGGTTCCTCCACAAGGAAACTGGGTACACATCAAGTTCAACAATCTGAGTGAGGTTTCAAGAGCTCTGTCATTGAACTGCAAACTCATCAATAATAATATTATGGTTGGTGTAACACTTTATTATCACAAGGAAAATAAGGAAAATGACAATGCAATGTACAGTTCTCCTATGAGGGCCAGGTCCCTTCGCCATTCTTTCATATCACCAAGTAATCAGAATTCTGTTTTGTCACCACAGACCTTACCTCAAAAGTCAACAGGTATTGTAACCAAAGCAATGGAATATGTTTTTGGATGGTAGAGCTATTTTATAATATTTGATTTTTATTTTGTATCATGTATGTATTTTTTATGATTGAATGGAAAACCACCTTAACATCTTGTTACTGCATCAAAATTATTTATATTCCTGCAGATAGTAAATAATATTAATACATTTCTCTACCTGAGGACAATAATTAGCAATTTAAACACCTCTGACTTGAAATCTGAGTCATTTATTTTGATGGATGTGAGGTTGTGACCAATAAGCACAAACAAAAACAAATGTGAACCAATGAAAAGAAAGTAAATAAACCTCTCCGACAGATTTCATAAACTCTGATAGGTGGTGTACACTTTTCTATCCAGAATTCAAACAGTATCATAATATCACAGCTGCTAGTATTCTTCATGTAGTTCTATGTAAATGAAGTATGTGGGTGGCTTTCTTTTTATAATTTATTGAACTGATCTAATATCTCAATTTAGTTTTATATTTTGTATTGAATCTTTACAGAATATATTTTATTTTCAAACTACTTTCCATTTTGAATCAGCCTCTATATCTTCGAGAAATGAGAATGATATGAATGAATCCACCTCTTGGGCAAGAAAATGTATGCAGGAATACAATAACAATACTCAAGGTTCTTATCAAAACATCACATGTGAAACATGTTCACAGGTTATTATTTTAACTGAGAAATTGGTTTTTCAATTTTGCGTCTCTTGAACTGAAATTTTCAGTAGACTCCTGTGGACTTTATTGGCTATTATTTACTTTGATGTGAAAACATTCGTTACTCGAATTTACCGCCAATAGTTATTTGAATTTACCGCCAATCGCTAGTGTACCACACCAGCAGTGGGACTCTGTAACTCAAAGCGAAAGCGAAAGCATGCGTAATCGACTGCTTTTGCCGTTTCGGTACTCTGTATCAATATTCGGATGAGGTCGGAGACGCCGAACGTGAGTTCGTAAGCGAAGCAGAAGCGAAGGATTTTGGTTGTACTAGCGGATACACAGAAACTATCTGCAAATCGTCCCGAGTGTATGAACCAATCAGAACGATTCTAGCTATGGCGGTGCATTCAAAATGAATCGTGATTGAATCCGAATCTTTTCGAGAAAAGAAAATAGGATGAAGTGGAAAATTTCAGTCATATAAAAATATAGTATTCAACAAAATTAAATGGATTGAGTCTATTTATCCTTAACAAACTAACCTATTCCTAATTGCAATATTTTTTTGAGGAAGGAAAACCAGAATGAAGTAAATACACATTGATCAATGATAAGTCGAGTTCTTCAACAAAATTGAATAAAATGATAGCGTTTTCCACTCGTCGCACTAGCTCGAACTTTTTCGGCACTGAGTGCGTTTTGCGTGGTCCACTGAGGATTTCAAGAGCGAACTTTTGTCGAGAAACGATTTCCACTGGCTTTCAAACTTGCTCGATGCCCGCTCAGAGTTCGAGTTTTCAGAACTGTGCTTGTACGACGGTGCGATACACATAACCTCAAATATTTGAGTTACGAGTGGGAAAATGTTTGGAATTTGAATAATTATGAATGTCGCATTGAAGTTTATCACTATTATTACAATGATTTCTGGAACCATATATACAAGTGATGATGAAGAAATGATGATTGAGATACAGAAGTACTTAGTTACGAAACAGCGTTTACAGAAGATTCAAAATTACCTAAAAGTTGAAGAAAGCTATTCAGATGTGAAGGTATTAAACATATTTGATTGTTGATTCAGTAATGATGAAAAATATCAACTTCGTGAAGGACACTTCAATGCTACATCCCTATTGTCGAATGATTCAATTGAACATCATTGACAATGAACATTCATATATTAGACTGTTTCTGGCTGGTTTCTGGCAGTGTTCATAGGGAAACCACAATAAAAGGTAGATTAATCCTTCCTGTGCTCCAACGGAACCAAATGTACTTTCAATAATTCAACTTATTGATTGACAAAACAATTAATCTGACATTTCTGATGACAAAGAGGTCGCACTAACTTTCTATTTCTATTCCACTGCTCTGTGCTGGAACCGCACTTTATGGAAGAACCGAGCCAGTGCCACTTGTACTTGCTCTGTGCTAGTGCGCTCTGTAAATCGGCGAGTGGAAAACGCTATGAGACTGTTTATCCTAAACGCACTAACCTATTCGACATTCGATATTTTTTGTGGAAGCTAAACCAGAATGAAGTAAAGATACATTGGTGAAAAAAAGTTGTTAAAAAAAAGATTAGGTTCATAGCGAATCGAACCTGGGACCTGCAGATCTGTATTGATATAGCGCGCGCATTCGGGACGATTCGCAGATGGTTTCTGTGTATCCGCTATTATTGGTTGTCGCTTTCTGCGATTCTCAATGATTGAGGTTATAGGTATTGGTTTTTGTTGTTGTTCCTAGTTCGAACTTTGTGTTGATTTGAGAAAAATAATAGATTAATAAATGAGGAATGAACCCAAACATGGATAACAAAGCGAGCAAAAACACAACTCAGTCAGTGGGACAGATTCCTCAGTTTTACGAACAAAATCCTAAAGATATTCCAGAGAGATGGAAGTTCTCTTTGGTAGGATTAAGGTAGGGGATGAAAGAACGTGAGACGAGATGATAGACAGTGTGATGAAAACATACAGCTCATTTGGTAGTTGAAAAATAAACTGAAAACTGTCATTAGTGCTGTTGAATAGGATCTGGAATAATTTATATTCATTCGAATTATCCTTCTCCTTTTTCCTGATACATCAAAACAGGCAGATATATAAGTAGCTCCCCCAAAAAATGAAATGTGCCATTACTGAATGTTGTCTCACTGAATCCTTGTTAAGAAAAATATGTCTTTGGTGTGAGTCCATTGAAGAAGATAATAGGTAATTAAAGAATCCTACTAATATAATATGTCGATACCTACAACAGTGAAACATACCAGAAAACCTGGAACGTTCAAATTTGAAAAATTTTCATAATAAGTGCATTGGAAGGGAAAATAATTTGGATAGCAAAAACCTTGGAGACAACCAAGAAGAACTGTGTACCAATAAGGAAGAATCAAGAGTAAATTCCATGAAACAGGATTAACTGAACATTATTTACTATGTTGAACAAGAACGGATTCTACTTTCACTACATTAATAATTCCATCCAAGATTCTAAAGTGAACTGTGAGAAAAAGTGCATCTGTATAAATGCACTGTCAACATATAGCTGCCTTGCAGCAGGCGATTCACGGAATTATATGTGCTTATCATCTTGCTTAATTTGCGACATAGAGAAGCAAGTTCTGATAGGTATTACATTATAGTATGTAAATAATAATATACTGAGTTTTAGATTATAGAATGATATGTCCATTATAAATATAAGCAGTTACATATCTTACAATATTATTGTTATTCTCAGACCATTTGCCTTTACTAGTTGCATATAAATAGAAAGCTATACCTGAGATATACCTAGTGAGAATATAAATACCAATTTTTTATATGAACAAAGTAGGTACATATTTTCCAATGAGCTGCTCTGTGCAGAATAAGTTCTTGTTTGGCTGATTACTATTTTTGTTGGCCTTGATGTCAATATCTGTTTGTAGTCAATACATTCATTCCAATTCATAGAAATAAATCATCTTCATATAATTATGTGTTTTTGATGTTTTATTGAATTTCTTTTCTCTCGGAAACTTCTCCAAGTGCTTTATTTCTGATTGAAACCAAAAATTAACATTACCATAATTCGTAAATGCCGCTTGTTTGATCCAATGGGATGTTTCCTTTGAATAAATGGGATCCGCAACACTGTTGCCAAATTTAACTCCACCAACTTCGTTCTATTTCGTATGAAATCGTATGACGATAGCGAAAGCATAACGAACTACATATAGAGTACCGGAAAGCGAAGTCGTATACTCCGCTTCGTTTCGCTTTCGCTACGCTTTCGCTATGCGACACAAGTTACAGAGTCCCACTGCTGGGTTCCTTGATGCAAACTGACGTATTTGTCATCTAACAGGGTTGGCAACAATGACAGTTTGACAGTCCCAAGAGTATGATGTATGATCAGTGTTGCCACTTGTAACATAATTATGGAATTGTACTATTTTTTCAATCTTGAATAAGCTAAAAAAGAGTTGATATTCTCATCACATAGATAATGCGAATTCACAATGTATTGCTTTATATAAATATATATCCATTATCTGAGAATATTCCTTTTAAACACTTTCATACCCGGTTCAAATTTGAACGATGGAAACTTGTGATTTTTATAGACCTCTAATCGCAGATTCGTGATAGAGTCTCAATTCAGAATTTCTTTCCACGCCCTGTATGATGAATGTCAATTTATCATACACTCAAAAGCAACTCAACATACGAATTAAATTATTTTATTTCATTCAATCATTGCTGACCCGTCTTGGCAATTAAAAACAAAGCTACAATAAAAGTCAACTGAAGCACAAAGAACCATCTATGCAAATATTACCGTACTGAAACCTACACTGAAACCAAGAACGATAGACTAGAGTGACTATATAAATACACTCTACGATAGACCATGGACCACTGAAACGTCATTTGCTTCACGTTCACTGACCAGCAGCAGAGAATACCCTCGACTTGACCTCTTGGACTTGACCACAGTTGAGAGAATATATGTATATATAATATTCTCTCAACTGTGACTTGACCCTCGACTACGTGGGAATCGTGGGATACCCCGGATACCCCACCATCCCGTCCCCGTGTATTGATATTCTTTCTGATGCAGGATAATTTTAGTCTATAGATTTGAGTTCCTGTTTTATTTTTGTCTTTATGCGATTGAAAATGAAATAAAATGGGACTAACTTGTTTTTTATCAAAAAAGTTATAACATCATTTTCTAAGAAATTCGATAGTTTTGGCAACACTGCAACATATATTCTTCACTGGGTGGTGGCAGCACTGTATATGACGTATGAGATCACAGCTGACTGCTGACTGCTGAGCAGTGTTTACAGTTGTCCTACCCTGATTGGGTTATATTTATCTATGTGCAAAACTCATAAATTGTGATAATTATAGTCAAAAAGTGTTGGAAAATTGGAATACCCATTCCATATGTTCGATATTTCAGAATAATCGACGTGATATTTTGGTAAGCAAGTTTTTCTAGTTTTATGATATAGCAAAACTGTTGATTTTCAGCTATCCTTTCTTTAGAAAGTATCTATACCTTCCTACCTATTTAAATATAAAAACAAATAATGAGTGATGAAGGCGGTTTTGATCCTTGCGAATGCGTTTGGGGCCACGAAATGGCAATGAGACGACTTTTGAATATGGTAGGCACATTGATTATTCCTTAGATTTTTCAATATTCAGCAGGTGATGGATTGTCATCATTGCATTATTTTTTACAGTTGAGAAACTCTCAAGCATACTGTACTGATAATGAATGTTTTGCAGATGGTGAGTTGGTTGAACTTTTTTCTATCTTAACACCTTATTATAGATTGTGAACTAACTAGGTACTTGATTCTTGATCTGTGAAAAGGGGTGTTGGTGTGATAGTTATAAATCTAGAAAAACATAATTATAGAACACATCCATGAACCTGTTTCATATTTTTGCTTGGAAGATTCATAACTTTATACCCAGCTTGATACTAACAATGCAAAACTGAAAAATATACCTTATTTTTAATTTGATTGTGCTCATTTCAGACCTTGTGCTTCAGAAATTTTTTAATATTAATAATCATGATACTAAATGATTATCAAATGAATACCTACCCACTAAATTCCATAAAATATTACAGATGCTACTCCACCAACAGCTCAAGATAATCCTGGACAATTGTTGCTCATGAGCATACTATTCTTGACTATGTTGTTCTTTTACTACTCTAGACCAAGAAGAGAATTGACTGAGAGTCTCATTAAACCAGTCAACACCAATAATGTGAGTATATGTGTATACATGATTGAATACACTATCATGATGATGATGATGAAAAAATGCAAAAATACTGATAACTTTTGGAGTTTTTCTGGTTTTTTGGTCATATCTTGCAAACGACTCACCAGACGGTAAATATCACAGTATTCAAAGTTGAAGAGCATGAAATTTTGCGTGAAATTATGCCTCTATATTCTTTATTCCCGAATCTATAAGGACACTGTCCTAATTTGAAAAATTCCAAAATTTACTATGCAGCAGGATTTTGAAATCAATCTATCTTGAAAATGGTGAATGCTATCAAAACAGGAGTAACATTTATAAGTTAATATGTTGAGATTTCCATATTTCCTGGGCACACTGCCAAAAATTCCATAAACAGGGTGATCAGAATTCTGATTCTTGAACCACCCCGTATTCGTTTTGCACTCAAATGTCAGTAGATAGTAAATCAAAAGTTAGGATAGGGATATGTGAGCCATTTTGACCAATAATAAATAGTTTCAACACAAAAAAATTCTAAAGTTGAAAAATCTGGATTTTGAACAACCTGTATCTCTGTAATCATTTCCGCTAGACCCAAAGTGTGATAGATCGATGAAATAAGCTTTTCAGGCAGAATATGGAAATTCATTAAAATACAGGGTGTTTTATTTAAAATAAGGAAGTTGATAATATTTCTGGAATAACTGAAAACGTGGCAACATTGGCGACAACATTTTCAAATCCGACACGTTTTGATATCACCCTGTACATAAATTCAAAAAATCACCGAGATATTTACTTGGTTCCATACTTTATACCAACCCTGTATATGATCCTGTAATTCCTGTATTCATGTTTTTGATCAGTACTCTGTAGATAATCGAATATGTTGGATAGTTTGAACCCAGCAATAAGTCGAATTTCAGTTCATAAAATGATCCAATGTGATATCACATCAGTTACATAATATATTAGGTGGGTGGTTATGCTTACATTTCTGTTTTTTTTTTGTTTAGGATTCCAGTGGAGACCCCCCAACTCCACCCCCAGCAATTAATTAGCACCAAAATTGGGTGTGCTGGGACAGATTCATTTTATTATGACTATAATGGGTTATCAATACAATTAATTTGGTGTGGTTCTTCTCACATTCTCAATCTTATTGGAAATAACATATTTCATATCATGACATTGCCTCAAATTTTGTAAATATGTGGTTATTCAGTGTCAGGGATCACTTTCCAAAGAGTAATGCTTCCTGATATTTTATGTACCACTGAACATTCCTCATGACAGCAAGATCCCTGAATTATAAAATAAGTTATGTGAAGAAAATTCAAAGTAGCTAGTCAAATGAAATTATATTAATTATCGCTCTTCATCAAGCATCCAAATAATTTGACATTTCCCGTCCAACTTTTGTCTCCCTGGAAAGTGAGTGTGACAGTATTCTGCAAATCAGATGAAGATTTTTGAATAAAAGATGATTTTTTCCTGCAACCGAAAACACTATATTAGTTGTTATACGACTATATTCAGATAATCAAGAAGTGTCATTTTGTGTCACTATTGCAAAATGTACCATTTTCACCGGCGGTAAAAAGCAATAGCAATGTTACTAAGAAACCTGCAGCATTGCACATTGTTGGGGAACTTGTTTTTTGTCTTGGGACTTTTGAGATAATGTTTATAATGAGGGATTCTGGGATTAGAAATGATTAGGTATAGGTACTACAGAGGCGGTTTCAGTAATAGCTTTGAACTGTTTTAAGAAGGAAGAAAAGGCAGAATTTGAAGCGAGTGAAGCACTTTTTACGTCGTTTAATCTTGATAATATTATCACTTATTTAAATTTCACCACTAACGAAAGTTACCTTATGAGAATTTCTTTCAGATGCAAAGGAAATCATGTTTTTGCTGAAGGTATTCTATGACAAAATGACGTATTTATATAAAGGGTTGCAGAAAAAAATCATTAAATTATTCAAAATGTTGTATTTGAACATGGATATTTGAAGAAATAATATAAGTCTATCTTCAATTCCACATGAAACTATACTATTTAGTAAATCTCAAAGATGAGTGGTTGGTGCTTATTAATTATTATTGTTCCCCTCAGAAAAAGAGGGTATCTTGTTCCACAGTGAGATACCTAGGTATATTATATATTTTTATTATTCTCTATGGTAATGGTAAAACTTTAATTTCATGTTAATTTCTAGACCTATAATATAACATATATTTTCACTACTGAATTCAGTTATCTGATCTTCATTGATTGCTGCACATATTACTATTGTATCATCCATTACCCCCTGCCATGACAGGTAATAAAATATTTATCATACATTATGCTTTAAGGTTTTCCATACTAGTTTTTCATTATACCCATGTCCTTGTTCACCTTTATATACTTTTGACCCTAAGTCTTGTCTGGTACGAATATTTTTCATAAACTTCCATAATCCAAAAAAATTGAGTATTTACCTTGATTATACAGGTTGTTTCAAAAAACCTGACTTCCTTGCTAGGGTAGGTAGAACACTGCAAAATAAGTTGGGTTTACCCAGTAAAGAAATTTCGTAACGGCATCCGTTATCAAGATACAAGGTGTTGAAAAAAAATGATTTTTTTAAACATTTTTCAAGATTGTGTCGAAACTACTGGCAACATTGTGATGAAATTTTGTATACATGTCTCTTGGAATCTGATACATCGCATGCATTTGTTTTCATATCTGACTCTTATAGAGGGCGCTAGTTACACGGTTCGTACCGAGTATGACGTACTGAGTAGTTTTGAACATTACTTTTTTGAGATTGGATTTTTCAATCCAAATTTGATGTCAACGTGAACATCATTCAATTTCACACCAAAAAGGTAGGTACTCTTGGTGAAACTCGATACTGTGTTCCGTTTTCGAAATATTTCAAATTGAAAATGATGAAGTGATAACTGTTGCAGGTATAAAGCTATGTACTAGAGTGAGTATTATGAAAAATTATCACCTATTTATTGAGAACCGAAACCAACAATACATTTCTGATACTAAACTTATTCAACAATGAATCGCAAGAATAACATCGAAATAGATTTGACGAAGAACATGGATTACACAGTTTTGTTGTATCTTGAGCAGAAAGTCTATGCTACATAGGTAAATTCATGTCAAGAGTTGGGAAACATAATTGTACATCACTTAAATAAACTATCAGTTGATCCTCAACTGCTCAGAAGAATAATACATTCTCAAGAAAAGAATATAGGATCGTGTGTTCGTCGAAACGTAGGAGGTTTTGAACACTTGCTCTGAGTGATTCAATATTTCATGTTTCTAGTCAAATTTCTCTTAATTTTTCACTTATTATTCTTTGTTTTGTATTCTTTGTTGCATCAATAACTTCAGCACAACAATAATTTTATTGTTTTTGAATCTGAATAAATAGGTAATTGAACTCAATAAAATTCATTTTATACCAGCATCAGCTATTACTCCATTATTTTCAAATCGAAATATTCCGAAAACGGAACATAGTATCGAGTTTCACTAGCAGTATCTTTTTGGTGTAAAATTGAATGATGTTCAAGTTCATATATCATATTTGGATTGAAAAAGCTAACCTCGAAAAAGTTATGTTCTAAACTACTCGGTACGAACCCTTGTACGAACCCTTTAACTAGCGCCCTCTATGAGTGTCAGATATGAAAACAAATTCATGAGATGTGTCAGCTTCCAAAACACATCCATATAAAATTTCATTACAATGTTGCCAGTAGTTTCAACATAATCGTGAAAAATGTGTAAAAAAAATATTTTTTCAACACCTTGAATCTTGAAAACGGATGGCGTTACGACATTTTTTTACTGAGCATACCCAACTTATTTTGCGAATTCTTGCAAGGTTATTTTGAAACACCCTGTATACACTATATGGTGTGAATACTCAAATGTATTTATTTGTGAAATATGGAGTGGCCCTTGAATATATTTTATAGTATATTTGGATGATTCATAGTTTTTGATGAACTTCTATTTCTACCCAACCTAACATTATTGAATTACAAATTATCACATCAAAAATCAAAATAAACAGTATACAGATACAGGGATTTCCTTTCATGCACACCAAGTGGACCACTTGCAGAATCTGAGGAAAACGTTAATTTGATAGCAATTAGCTTGTTAGTTTCATTTTGGACTAATACAAACTACCATAGTGATTTATTTTCTGTTTTATGGAAGAAAAATAAATACTATTCATATTTTTTGAAGATTTATCAGACTATAAGTTTCAAAGCTTCAAAGAATAAATATTTAATTAGAAATGAGTCAAAAAAGTTAAGAAAAACATTCTATATTAAAATTAAATGTTTCAACTTACAATACCAGTGGTGTACTAATTAAAAGTATAAAACATTCACAGTCTGTATCAACTTTTTTCCAAGAGAGACATGGTTTAGTTGAAATTTTGAACTAGAGTTTTTAAATAAGTTAAACAAATAGATAACCCACATCTATTCTAATATTAATAACACATTATTTAGGTTCCTCAATTGTTGCAGCTGCTAAGTCAGTCAATTTTGGATATTTGATGTTCTTCTTGTTCAACTTGTCTTGTGCCCAGAGGATGAGTTTGAGTAGGGTAGAAATTTTTGGTGCAGTTGCTTCTTGGTGTTCCATTTTGAGAATAGCAGCATTTACTTCACTGGCAACCTGTAGAGAAAAAAACAAATTTCAGCCTGTATATTTTTTTCAAATACAAAATCAATTTGACCATATCAAAGAGTTCTAGAAAAAAGTGAAAAAAAACCCATTTCATATAGGTATTAAAACAGTGATGAATTATTAATTGCCCTCATCATTGCACTAAATCCTTAAATAGTTCATTAATTTTTGCTATTAGTCAGAACATGTTTCAGAAAACCACTGTTATCAACACATTCATACCTTTTGTCTGTGAGAAGGTGCAAGTAAATCCCCAAAAGGACAAGTCAATGGTTCTTCAAAAGCCAATAGGGCTACAGTTCTTTCTAATTCAGCCAATACAGAAGGGTCTTCCTCACCAGCTTCACTTAGATGACTCTGTGCAAAGGCAAGAGCTTCTTCTATCCTGTTATTTCTAATTAGTTCAATGAGATGAAGTTGCTAGAAAGACATAATTGATTATCAATATTGATACAGAACTGTTCTTACCTGTAGATGAAAATACAAATGTCTGTCATTATCCAATAATTCTGGATGTAATTGGTTAATTAGGGCTGTAGCTTCCTGGATTCGTCCAGTCATAATAGCATCTCTAATACTAATTCTATCATCCAGAGAATGTAAGTCTACTGAAGGAATAACTCCAGATTCTTGTTGAAATTTCTCTGCAGCCTCTTTGAAACCCTCTATAATAACAGTACTTTACTATTTTCTTTAATATGAATAGATTTGTTCATTTTACCTGTAACTAGATAATTCATGATCAATTTATTCATGTTTGTTCGGCCGAGGTCGTTATCCTCGAGTAATTTAACCCAATCTTCCTTTGTTGTTATGTCGTGTTTTTCTGAAAAGCTCATTGTCTATTTCTTTTTTCTTTATTTTTATTTGGATTATTTGGCAACAACATTGAAACTTGCTGTGACAATTATGACATGACCACTACATGACATCTGTAAAGACAGTTTTGACTCATGACATTCAATGTACCTTAGATCATTTAACAACTAGATTCATTATGACAAAACACGAACAGCAGTAGCAGTTTTACCGGAAATCGAGATGAAAGATCGCCCGTAATAGTATATTGTTTAGCAGCTTGAGTAGTTGGCGAATGCTGCAAATCATACAAGCCTAGCTAGACCAGCGAATCTTTCAAACCTCAAGGTTATCAGAAGGTTATTCGTGTTTATAAGACTCATGAGGTGATATGAGGAAGGAAAATATCTCTTCTACATGATATGATATCTCTCTACATGATATGAGGAAGGAAAATATCTCTTCTACATGAAAAAGGAAAGTAGGATTGGCTTTACTAATAGTAGTCCTAGTTTTATCATGTTTTGTGAGTGACGTCACTTCAAAGTTTTTACAGACCTTAGATCATTTAAAAACTAGATTTGGTAGGACAAGAAACGAAGAACAGTAGTGGTAGTGCTAGTGCAACAAGTCGTTTGCTGCCGGCTGTTGTGGGCTTGGCTTGTAGTTCTACCGGAAATTGAGATAAACCGTTTTTTCTCTCTCAAAAACCCACCTCCTACCACTTCGCGACCACAGATCGCCCGTAATAATATATTGTTTAGCAGCTTCAGCAGTTGGCGAATGCTGCAAATCATACAAGCCTAGCTAGACCAGCGAATCTTTCAAACCTCAAGGTTATCAGAAGGTTATTCGTGTTTATAAGACTTTTAAGGTGATATGACGAAAGAAAATATCTCTTCCACATGAACTAGGGAAGTACTTCCAACCTAACTTGTCCTGAACATACGTTTTTCCTGAAAAGTGTTATTTTGAAGAATTAATTGAGTGAAAAAAAAATTCACGCCTCGCAGGGATTAAACCCCAGTCACTACATTGGAAGTCTGTGGGTGACGTCACTTGACCTCGATGTTTGAAGATTCGCTGGTCTAGCTAGACGCTTGTTTCTCACAGGGCAGTGTCCTGTGACTCCTGTGGTGAGAAAGCCTGTGATTGATGAGATTTTAGCGAAGAATAGTAGTTTTGATTGGGTGAATGGAGCATTTCAACCTGATTTGCGACGTGTCGGAATTCAAGCGTTTTCAACATAGTCAAAGCGGTTTATACAAGGGCGTCGCCAGAGAGGGGCAGGGTGGGGCAGCTGCCCCCCCTACGATTAACGCTCACCAGTCACCCTGCTATCATTGAAACGACTATTTCATTAATTACATAATCTGACCAATCACAAGCCAGAGAAAACGTGTGCTTATCGCGAAAACTAGATGTTTTCAACTATGTAACCATGGGTAGCGAAGCGAAGTCTGTCAATTTGGCAAAAAATAATGACTGTACTTGTCAGAATGAATCATTCATTCAAAATAAATGCTTGTTTGCTTCGTGAACGCGAAATAGTCTCCACTCTGTTCTGAATATATTCTCATAATTCTTCATTTCCTTGTCAAATTTATTGTGTTGCCGTACAGCCCTACCTTTCGTCCTGACTCGTGGTGTTGCTCAGCAACACAATTTCGTGAACAATGAGGCGACAGAATTATCTCGAATATTAAGAATATCGTGATATTACTTATGATAACGCTCACTTTGAGCAAAGAACTTCCGAAAGTATATTTTGCTCCTGCAGTTGAGAAGGCTCTGAAGATCCTTGTTGCCTTCACCTTGTAAGATTTGTACAGTTGAAAGGTCATTTAGTAGCCTTAGGAGAATCAAAACCTGGTTGAGGAGCACCATGTATGATGCTCGACTCAATGGCCTCGCAATGATGAGTATACACAGGCAAAATATTTTCAAAAACTTGAACGATTTCGTCAAAAAGTGACCAACGAATTCCCAAAGAACCCTAGAAGATTATTTTTCAACTGATTTACGGTATAGATTTTTTTCTGTTTTTTGATTTTCTCATTGAACTCTTTCTATTTGATTTTTCTCTTCAGTTTTTTTTATGGTGCCCCCCCCTATTTTTTCCGCTGGCGACGCCCTTGGGTTTATATGGAGATATTTTGATCATATGAATTGAAGACGACGGATATATGAATAATTCTCATTGAAACAGGGTTATGGTTTTCATCATTTGCGCCACTTCCTCCACTCTTCAATGATATTTTGTATATTCGATTCGGTTTGAAGACTTGTGATGCTTGTGAATATTTTATTTTGCCTGAATTAGTATTGAAACTTATAGGAACCAATGTGACTTATAGCAATGTCGCAGATCTGTATGCTGTTGAACTAGAAATATGAGTTGATAAATGGTTATAGTTTGACAGGTTTATCAATGTGTGATAACATCAATGACAAACCTTGAATACGATCGAGAAATGTATGTTGTGATTTACTAATGTATGTACCTACCTAATAGTACCGAATAAAATTGTTAAGGAAAATGTACCCTATATTCATTTTGTTTTTTTTTTCGTTCTGAACAGATTTCTGAATGAATTAAGATTTTTTCGATTTTTTATCTGATGTTATAAGCTAACTGAAAATGAGGAAATATGATCAAAAATGTCGCTAAATCAAGAAAAAATGTCGCTTAATTTTCAAAAGCTCGCTTTAGCAACTTCTAGCGGTTTTTTCCTGACTTCTTGCGACATATTTCATGTTCAGCAGCTGGCAACACTGTAGCAGACTGCGTTTCAAAGCAGTCCCATGTGAACAAATGATTTTAGGGCTTTTGCTTTTAGTTTTTAGTGCAGCTTGGATGCCTGAGCAGATATATATATGCTATACGAGCCATGGTCCATATAAGTATATTGAGATACATTTTTTTAAGATTTCAAAAATTTTGTTTTCGACGGAAAATTACTTTTAATATTTTTTCATAATATTTATTAATCATTTTTTTCCTGAATTTTGATCACCTGTATATGGATATTTTTATCATGTCACCATCAAAAATTGCCTTGCAATGATAGCACTCTGTCACAGTCCAATTGCGTCATGTTCTTCGAAGATATCTGTACCTGTACCTTGTAGATATCATAAAAGAATAAATATTAATGAATATTATTTTCAAGATCCAATTGTAATAACACAAGTTTGCATTTTCGAAGTTTTATTACAACAAAAACATTTTTTCTTACAGGATGTGCTAATTTGAGTACGTAATGTGAAATATTGTTCTCCTGAAAATAGCTATATATTGTGGATAAAGATATATATTTACTTATAGTATCCGGATCACTGATATAATATGGCCTCAGCGATTTGTGCAATTATTTACAAAGTAAAACAATATTTATCTTCATAAATAAATACGAATTAATGATGTTTCAAGCAACATTTCAGGGAGTTAGTCCATTTTTAATGATTTCGAAAAAAACTTACTCGCATCAAGGTTTTTATTATTATTTTCAAAACGGTTTGAAATTAAAAATTTTGACATTGTAATTCTCTTTTAACTCTTTATGTAAATGTGAATTTTATGTAAATTCATCGAAATTGATTTTTTTTAAAGCAGGGTCGGCCAAGAAGACCTGAAGGTTTGCGAAAAATCTCGGACAGGTCAATTGTTTTCAAACCCAACTGCCGACTCATATGTCAGTAATAATATATCTACATATAGGGTAATGCCATAACTGATTAAAAATTGGAAAGGCGCGACTTCTAGAAATCGGACACCCTGTTATTTATGTTTAATCCATACTTAAGATTGGGATTTTCATTACGAAACCACCGGGAATAGTTAGGAGTAGTGTTCGATATTTTTTTTCACATCCTCAGTATAAAAGAAATATCAAATAAAAGTCTGAATCCCTGAAATGTTCAGCTGATGAAATCTAATTGGCTGTAATAATTATGTATTTTCCAAATGTCCAACAATGCAATAATAATAATTGAGTAGGTACCCTACTCTTATTTGAGTAGTATGATAAATGGAACTAGTGGCCAGATTATATAAAATCATAACAATAATATCTTTTGAAGACAATAAGAAATAAATACCTATACATAAGAACTAACAAATATTTTACAAATCATGTAGTTTTCTATATACAATATAGGTATGGTGATGGAGTGTGGAATGAATTCGAGGATTTGCAAGAAACCTCAGACATAAAAAATAACCAATTTCGAAGTATCCAATAATTTTTGCACACTCACCCGCTAGAGTAAATTCACAATATTATCTAACATTTTACGGAAATAAAGAATTTATTCCACACTTTTCATCATACTGTATGCTTCCTTATAAACCGATATACACGCTGAATATTTACAATGAATTTTTAATATTAAAAGGAAGCAATTATAAACACAGTTTTTGAAGATAATTTGGAAAGCTTACTTCAAGTAACGCCCAGATTATTCAATATTCGCGAGGTGAACTTTTTAACGCTAATTTGATGGCAAAACATTGTTGCAAAACGTTTCACCGCGAAAATGATACTAAACACTTCAAACATGAAACTGAAGATTGTTCAAACGCCATGAAATTGAATATAACATTGGCTTCATGGATTTCAAAGTGCCCACATGGGTATACAGATTTTTTATTACACATAGGTATTCAATATTCGATTTTTTCCACCACTATAGCTATAGCACCTACCATAATAAGGGTGCTTTCATAGTGAAATAGTTCCACATTTCAGTTTCACAGAACTATAATGACTGAAATATATTGCTAGTGGTGAAAAAAATTTTATATACACCTTCGTAGTAGTGAATAATGATGATATTCTTTACTACCTTGGTGTATAAATAACTATTCCTCAATTTTTGTAATTTTCTCCCTTTGTTTCTGATAGTACAAATATTTGTAGAAATTTGTACAAATTAAAATATGTTCTCCAAAATGCAACTGATTTCAACATTTAACTATTTATAAAAAAATTTGAGTAGCAAGAAAATTTGCATGGGATATTCTTATATAGCAATTGGTATTTTCGGTTTCATTTACATTGACAAATCTCAATTGACAGAAGCATATTGTCTGCTACATATGGAGAGAAAAATTAGTGAGCTTCAACTACTGGTCTGCTCTATAGCTCAGTTGAGTGTATGACCACCAGAGGATGTTACCGTACCGGACGAAATGATCTTTACTTTTTTCTAGAAAATTTTCGAAATTTGTGGTTATGTAAGTTGTCAGTGTCAAGAGCTGTCGTGCCAGTGACTTTTTTCCTAAAAAAAATCTTTCGTCTTCAATTCTCATTATTCTTATATTCTTTTCGTTAATAGATATAGTTTTGTATTGTGCTCCCAGTATTAAAGTAGTTTATTCTGATTGATAATTTGTTACATACTCTATCTCTCAATTGTTCCTACCAGAAAGTGTGAAACCGTCTCTATTAATGTATTTCCAAGTGATATTTCTTTAAGTTGTTACATTCGATATTGAGTGTTACGGCTCATTACAAGTAAGATAATCAGAGCCCTGATCAAAAGCTGATAATCGATACAAAACTGATTCTACCTCTCATTTGATTTAGGTGTTGAACATTACGAAATTGGGGACTATTGTAGTGTCTGTAGCAACCATTTTGAGAAAGGATGATTTATTCAATTTTCGAGTTACTGAGTGACTATGTCGTGATACTGAACTCAAACTCACTGAACAAACTGCGCCGCCGCTGCCGAGACTGCCGAGAGCACCGCTGAGGGAGCTGCTCAACTCGTTTACGATTTTCAAGGTTATGTAGGCCTGACAGGAAAACAATTGAAATAAGTACTGTATCGGCCACAGAAACCTGTAGGCGATTTTCCTTTTTTGATCAGACCAGATACTACAGCTCACTAGATTTTGTCTCTCCATATTAAGCAGAAAATGGACAGAAGTTGACAAAAAACATTACTTACAGGACGATTCCATCATTTGATCTTGATTTTTTATGAAAATAAGAAAATCATTGGAAACAAAACAACATACTATACTCTCTTTCTAATACTTCCTATTCCAAATGTTTTCTCTTTTAGACTTCTAATAGGGGCATTTTGGGGCGAATGATCTGATTGGTACTTTGGATGTGTACTGAAATTGATATTTTAATTTAGAGAAACATGGTATGAAAAATCTAAAATTTTTTGAAAAATAATAGGTACTTATTAATTTTGTAAGTCGACATTTTTCAAAGTACTCTGGTAACACGTTTGGAGTGTTCATCTCAGTTTCAAGGGCGAAATATACCCATTCAGTGATGGTGGATGTCATTTCTTTGATAAGCGCTTGAGTACCAATATATGTATCTTTTTTATTATGCTTAAGAAGCAGTATCATCTTTCTTGAGAATCCAGATCATCCTACTTAACTAGCGAGATCCATCATCATCTCGCTACTTAAGCCAGATGATCTTTCAGCTTAAGAAGCAAGATGCTCTTGCTTAAGAAGGAAGAACATCTATAAGAATTATAACGACTTCATGCCTAAGAAACAGGATCATCTTTTCTGAAGAAGCAAGACATCTTGCTTAAACAGCAAGCTTCATTTCTTGAGCAAGTACTAGAGGGCTAGTGTGTAACTTTTTTATTTTGCTCAAGAAGCAATATCATCTCGTTTGAGAAAATAGACCATCTTACTCAAAAAGTGAGATGAACCATTTTGATCTTCTTGTTCAAGAAGCAAGATCATCATGCTCAAGAAGCGAGATCATCTGGTCAAATAAGCAAGATGATTATCTTGTTTCTTCGGCACAATGATGGATCTTGACCTAATAAGCAGGATCGTCTCGCTTAAGAAGGAAGAACATCTCATCCAAGAATAAAATACCGTCATGCCTAAGAAACAGGATCATCTTTCCTGAATAAACAAGACATCTTACTTGAACAGCAAGTTTCATTTCTTGGGCAAGCGCTAGAGGGCTAGTATATGTATCTTTTTTATTTTGCTTGAGAAGCAAGATCATATTGTTTCTTGAGCAAGACCATCTGGCTTCTCAAGCAAAATGATCTCGCTTCTGTTCAAGATTAATCTCTCTATCAAGCAAGATGATGGATTTTGCTTATTAATTAAGATGATCTGTCTTCTCTAGCAGGATGATCTTTCTTCAGGAGATGAATTCTGACCATCCAGCATTTTCGTACCATTGAACATCGATAAACTGACAATGGTCACTGGCCACTGTCACAACGTCTAGTAGTCCTGCAGCAAGATTATCTAGCTCAATAAGAAGCGAGATGATCATCTTTCCTGAAGAAGCAAGACATCTTACTTGAACAGCAAGTTTCATTTCTCGGGCAAGAGCTAGAGGGCTAGTATGTATCTTTTTTATTTTGCTTGAGAAGCAAGAAGCAAGATCATATTGCTCCTTGAGCAAGACTATCTTGCTTCTTAAGCAAGACCATCTTGCTTCTCAAGCAAGATAATGGATCATGCTTTTTGAGCAAGATGATCTTGTTTCTCAAGCAAGATGATCTCGCTTCTTTTCAAGATGAGTTTCGCCAATTAGACAAGATGATGGATTTCGCTCATCTATTAAGATGATCTGTCTTCTACAGCAAGATGATCTTTCTTCAGAAGATGGATCCGTAGTTTATCTAGGAATCTGACCATCCAGCACTCTCGTACCATTGTTCATCGATAAACCGACAAGTTTCTTCACAAGTGACCATTGCCGATTGGGGCATGGTCCTGATGCTGCCCCCCCAGCCACTGTCACAACGTCTGATAGTCGTGCAGCATGTCGGGCGGCGGCTGGTAGACAGGCGGGCAGGCGTAGGGAACCGCGGGGGCGGCCATTTGGTAGGGGTGGATCTGCGTCTGGACGACGGGGGCATACGCCGCCATCTTGGGGCCCGTCTCCGGCTCGCTGTCGCTGCCGCTCGAGTCCAGATGGGGCTTCTCCGAGCTCGTTTGGCTGCTGCAAAGGAGAAACGGGATGTCAGGAAAACTGTGTTGGTAGATAGGATACATTTTTACAACGAATATTGTTTCTTGTGCGATTTGATAGATGCAGCTTTCCTGACGTTTAATTACGACAGACATGATGTAACCAGAACCAGTCTAACATTCTGATGAGTGTTTTAGCTTGTGATCATTCCATGTGATGGTTCAAAAAAGAGAACTAGAAGGATATGTGGAATATGTGGAGAGCAGCGGTTGCCAAAAATGGCCCATGACTTCCATGAGAGCGTAGTTGCCTGGCCTCCCTACAATAATATGTCTACTATCTATATACTACCTATCATTTTGATTCTGGTCAGAGTCGAGGCCTGCCTTCTGAGCCTATCCAAAAGGAGCGTTTCCTAGAATTCTCGTTCTAGGAGGGGATATCTTCGTGATACCTATATGTGACGATATTATATGATCATATTATGACGAGTTGTTTTTCTCATCTTTCTTGATTTAGACATCAATAAACAAAAATATATCACACTTGGAGTTTGTATACAGTTGTATTAATACAGTGCGTTACTAACTTTCCATGGAGATTCCATAAATTTAATAATATATATTAGGTTGTGGAAATTGTAATCATAACTCAAACTTGGATTACCCTAAATATTTGAATTAACCTCTAGAATGTGGCGAATTGAGAATAAAAATCGACTTGTTTCAGGAGATTCCTCAGAGGTGGCTATCAATCAAATAATTCGATTCTTAAAGAAAGCACTGCACATATATATCTATTTTCTCCAAGCGGCAGGGAAAGTGGCTTTTCTTTGAGCCTTAACAGACAGGAAAATTGTACTTTCTCTGCCAAGGCCACTGCCCATATGAGACGACTTTGAAGCGGGTGTAACATCAACTCTATCTGTGTGCACACTGTATCTCTGTTTTCTATCATCTCACGTGGATCCTATTGAAACAGCTTGGTTCGCAATATTAGACGACGAAGTTTGTTGCTATGCAAGGTGCCAAGAATTTAGAATGAAATTGGTAATAGGTACCTAATCAAAATTAACACTGACATTGGAAAAACACAAAATAATGGAGTATCAATGCAGAAGTACACAAAATTGGTTTTATAACATTTGGAGAAAGAATTATATGATTCACACGGCAGCAAATGTTGATTGACTGCATAGTAAAACTTGGTTTTCTGTTTCGGGCCTGGAGCTATTTCACTTCCAGTCAGCTGCTTAAGATCTATAAGGCACAGATCCGACCTGTCCTGGAATACTGTTCCCATATTTGGAGTGCAGCACCCAAACATACCCTGAAACTTTTGGATTCTGTCCAAAAAAAGGCAATTCGTCTCGTGGGTGATGCCTCGCTTACCTCACTCACTTCTCTGGAACACCGTAGAGAAGTTGGCGATCTGGATCTATTTTATAGATATTTTCATGGACGATGCTCTTCTGAAATATCAACAATTGTTCCCCCCTTGGCAGTCCCCGCGAGATTAACCCGTCGAGATAAGGCTTCGCACCCCTTCGTGGTCACTTTGGAGACCTGCAGAACATCTCTTTCCAAACACTCGTTCATCCAACGAATAGCGAGGCTCTGGAACACATTGCCAAGAGAGGTTTTCCCCGAGGCATATAACCTCCAGAAATTTAATAACACCAATTCCTACCTTATTTCCCTGAGCATAACAGGATATCCCTTTTCGAAACAGAACCTAAAAAAAATCGCCTTCATTTCCTAGGACTTCTTTGGCGAGCCGAACTATACCATCATACAGTTTCCCTTTCGTGCGATCCAAGAAATAAACAAAAAGATATTCTGTATCAGCTTCAATAAAAGTTTCTTCTGATATTCGACTAATTTCAACCACAACTACAATATTACATAGGAAGTCGATCACATAATAATTTTATAGAAGTAAAACGAGATGGAAGATAACATTTATAACACTATTGGCGAAATATGACATTAGTGAATTCTTCAGGATTATGAAGATAAAACAAAAAAGTTCTATATCCTAAAAGTTTCATTCGGCTCCACACATTTTCAATCAAATTCAGATCTGGAGATAATGCTGGTCACCACATTCTTACATTATTGTTTTCTAAAGTTCGTAATTTGTCAGATAAGTTGTGAAACACTCAGTATATTGAACAACAATACTTTGTGTCTCATACTTGGGCAATAAATATTGGAAATCAGTTGATAAGAATCTTCGATATCAGGAAACAAGTTTGAACTAAAGATTTTCATCCTGTAAAGGCGAATTTTCGGATACGTCTCGAGTTAATAGTCTGATATAAATAATGGATATCGAGAAGGACGTTTCTGAATATACTGAATCGAATGGTCCATGGTTTTAGTAACCATTTTTGATTTTTTTCACTGAAATGAGATTTTGTCCTATTTTCTTATCATCCTGTATATCCCACAATAGTGCTTTTTTGTCTCTCATTGTCCTCCACAAAACACGAGAACAGTTCTTCCCAATAGGCGGCTCAAGTTCTAGCGAAAGAATTCAGGAAAAGCAAATCGAATTTTTGTTCCAATGGTCAATTAAGGAGGAATCACGAAAACTTCCCGAGATGAGGTCCCATTGTATCATAATATGACTGACTTTTGATCAGAAAAAAATTTCTCGAGTTCTGCCAGCATTGGAAATGTAGACCATAGTGTATTGTTTCACTTTACACCCTGTGTAAGTTTTGTTCTGCGGACTTTTCCAGAGTGATCTAGCTCTCTTTGAAGCCGATGAAACATCACATCTTCATCTGATATCGAAAACCGCATGAAGATCGGTCAATTCTTTAAAAAAATACAGGTCTTCGAAATAGAGTCAAATTATGAGTGGTCCATTTAGTGTGTTGAGAACTGTAGATGCATCAAAACTCGCTTGTCTCTTTCCTTCAGTCTTGAGAAGGTAAAAATACAATACAAAATTGAATAAACAATGAGTCGCATTCCTTCTTTCGTCCATCATCCACCCTGTAATCGGTAGCGGCTCGCAGAGATGGGGGAGGACGTTATGTTTGAACAGACTTCGTTCTCGTTGTTTTCGCGAAACCCGACACCGCTCTTTCCGCCGCCTCTCGCCACCCTCTCACGGCCTACCGCGATGCCAAGCCCTACGACCTCTGCCGCAGCGTTGTTCGTTTGTTGGTAAAACAATGCGGGGCTTCTTCTTTGTCGCCCTTTGTTTGGGAAATCGAACTGGATCGGATCGGATCGGGGTAGTGGGCGCTGGGAGAAGAAGAAGAAGAAGAAGAAGAAGAAGAAGAAGAAGAAGCAGGAAGTCTTTATTGTACTAGAAACCAAAAGTATTCGATGACAAACCATGTAATGAGCTGTAACGAATATTTAAACTATAAGATCTAGTATCTAGTAAAATATGAACAAGTATATATTATTTACCCTTCCTTCGGAGTTATGATGAGAATTGTCAATAAAACTTTCCTAACAGAAACCCAGATATTTTTATTCAGAATCTGATCGATCATTTTGTTTTTGAAATAAACCAATTTTAGGCCGTGAAAAGTGAGTATGGAGAATACTTTTTTCATTGCAATAATGCAATGCACGGTGTATTCCACAGATCGGTTCACAGCCAGCACTAAAACAAAACTTTGCTACATCACATACACAAGACACGGCTCTATCGATTCGGACGATCGAAACCATTGAACAATAATTGAACACGGGCACCTATGACCGAGAGCAGCAGTGAAATGAACGCGATCTGTATCTTTGTCAGCTCCAATACTAATGAAACACTAGAGCGAAATGAGCCGAATTACGATTGTCGAATGATTGCCTAATAACCGTCATACGTGTGAATTGCTAGAGTTATTCGTCAACGTACAATGCTAGAAACCCAAACAGCTATGATTATTGGGACAAACATTATCTGAATTCACCAATGAGCATAATTCACAAAACGAGCTAAGTCAATAAAAAATCTAAATAGACTGGAATTTATAAAATTCTCATAATGTCATAACACACCTGCGTTATGATGGTAGCAAATGTCCATTCAAGGGTATTACAAATGATTTAAGAAATCGATTTTAATAATTACAGAATGGAGAGAATACTGTTGTAATAATAAAATGATCAGGAATAGGAGATTTCCTTATAATGGTTATTACAATCAGAGCTGGTAGATATTTTTAATATCCAGTTTCTCTCAGTGTAGGGTGTCTCTAAATTACATAGAGATTTCAGCCACAGATTCTAGGAACAAAAATACCTATAGTAAAAATAGTAGATTGTTTTATTAGGATCAAAAGTGACACTTTGTTTGACAATAAAATTTTGCATTTGCAAGGCGGAGCGTTTAGCGAATTTTGAGTGAATTGTTTTTTAAACGACCACCAAATAGTAGAATTTACAAAAATGGTGGAGGATCAACTATGGTGAAGGCGAGAATGAATCGGTGAACGTTCAACTATGGTGAAGGCGAGAATGAATCGGTGAACGTTCAACTATGGTGAAGGATCCGAAATAGATTCATTGAGAGAATTTTATAATAAAAACTAGCAATATCAGCCAGACGAAGTCCTTTTGTTGTAAACCTTGTAATGAAACTCATACCAGGGCTTTGGTTGTGTGGGTCGAACTGATTTTTAGACTTTGAGAAGGAGACTGCATTTATTCCAAAATCATCTACAACCTTAAGAATGAACCCAATCATAAACATATTTTTACATTCGATTTGCAATGAACATTTACCGGTAAGTATAGAATTTCAAGATGAGCACGATTACATAAAGAACGATGGTAAGTAAAGTTCATATAAACATGTGTTCTAACTTGCTTCGTTTTCAAGATACAGGGTATTGATATTTGCATGAAAAATCGTTTTTTATTCATTACTCAATTCTCTTTCCATCAACCTCAATGAAACGTTGTGGTTTTGTCGATAGTAATATGGAGCTTCGTTTGGTGCAATTAGATTCGAAATTATATTTCCAGTGGCGTCACAGTCGATTAATTTATCGATATTTATGGTGG